ATATGTATGTAAACTTATATTTATTTAAGAAATTCTATATGTTATTGAATTTATTATAATAATTATGGTAAATTTTGAGAAATAAGAAATGTTATTATGACATTGACATGCAGGTGAGAAGTCTATGATCACCAAGCGTCACATGTATTTGACGGAGGAAATTCTTAGAGAGAATCCAAATATGTGCGAGTACTTGGCACCTTCTCTAGACACGCGTCAAGATATGGTAGTCGTGGAAGTGCCGAAGCTCGGCAAAGACGCAGCTGTGAAGGCCATCAAAGAATGGGGACAACCTAAATCCAAGATCACGCATCTCGTCTTCTGCACCACCTCCGGCATCGAAATGCCTGGCGCTGACTACCGACTTATGAAGCTCCTCGACCTACACCCGTCGATGAAGCGCTACATGATGTACCAACAAGGCTGCTATGGTGGCGGCGCGGTGCTTCGGCTAGCCAAGGACTTAGCCGAGAACAACAAAGGGGCTAGGGTGTTGGTTGTGTGCTCGGAGATCACTGCCATCACGTTCCGTGGGCCGTCGGAGACTCACATGGACTCGATGGTGGGGCAGGCGTTGTTTGGGGATGGTGCATCGGCGATGATCATTGGGTCGGACCCGGATGTTGCGGTGGAGAAGCCGTTGTACGAGCTGGTATGGACTGGAGCCACGGTGTTGCCGGACTCGGAGGGGGCGATCGACGGGCACTTGAGGGAAGTTGGGCTCATATTCCATTTGCTTAAAGACGTGCCTAGCCTTATCTCTACCAACATCGAGACCAGCCTCAAAGAGGCCTTCACGCCACTGGGAATCTCCGACTGGAACTCCATTTTCTGGATCACCCATCCCGGTGGCCCAGCCATTCTCGATCTGGTAATCGATCTCGTAAAGCATCTTCAATCATGACTTAATTTTTTCGGTTAAGTTAGGCCCCAAAATTTTCTGTCTCAAACAGAACAAATCAAAGTAACCCAAACGTCAGGGATGAATTGATTCATATGGGTTTGATCGGTTAACTCCGTCCCATTTAAAACAAAATTTTGAATAAATGATTGATCTAATTCAAACCAATCTTAGACCATTCAATAGTTATTATTAAGTGATTTGAATTTATATTTTTGAATAAGGTGGAAGCGAAACTAGGTTTGAAGAAGGAGAAGATGAAGGCAAGTCGGGAGATTCTAAGGGAGTACGGGAACATGTCGAGCTCGTGCGTGGGTTTTATAATGGATCAAATGAGGAAGAACTCTATGGAAGGTGGAGCTCCAACGACTGGAGAAGGGCTCGAATGGGGAGTTTTGTTTGGGTTTGGCCCGGGACTGACAGTAGAGACAGTCGTGCTACATAGCATTGCGCATTAAAGTAAACCACTTATACCACAGATGAAGAAAGTTATTAGCTTTATTTTTATATTTATTTCCTTTATTTAATTTTATTTAAACAATTACCAAGTTATTTTTAATTTTATTTTAAGTCATAAATATTCATATTTAATTATAAATGTACTTCCCTTTCCTATTATATATTTTTATTTTTATATTTATTTCCTTTTGTTAATTTTATTTAAATAATTACCAAGTGAATTTTAATTCTATTTTAAGCCATAAATATTCATATTTAATTATAAATGTATATAAATTTCTTAGAGAAGAAACACGTGCATTAATGAACACGTGTAAAGCCGTACAATATTAAAGTTTTAATTTAAATTTTAAAATTTAAATGTCAAAATTACATATTTTTAGAAATATATTTTTTTTTCTAATAAATTAAATTCATAAATTTAAATACTAATTTTTTTTTTAAAAGTATAGGTACAAATTTTATTTTTTAATTATTTATTTTTCTATAAAAAGATTTATTATTACTATCTCATTGTATATTAAAAAAAATTGAATAAATGACTCGGTGAATTCGAACCTCAACATTTATACATAAATTTTATATTTTTTTGGATTATAATAAGTTCATGTTAATATATATTTGATGGTTATCTTTAATTCGAATTTATATTTTTGAATTAAGTGGAAATAAAAATAGGTTGAAGTAGGAGAAGACGAGGATAATTTGAGATGTTCTAAGGGAGTACGGGAACATGACGAGCGCGTAACGATTTGTTTATAATGGATCAAATGAGGAAGAACTCAGTGGAGGACTCGAATGGTGTGTTTTATTTGGGTAATTTTAATTTAATGTTTAAAATTTAAAAGTCAAAACTATATGAAAATATATTTTGACCCATATTTTTTCTAATAAAAACAAATTCATAAATTTAAATTTGATAAAACAACGCTGAACTATTTCCCTTTTCTATCGCTTATTTTCACTTTTTATATTATTTTTTTATGTTAATTTTATTTAAGTAATTTTTCATGGAATTTCAAAGCTATTTTAATTTATAAATATTTACTTTAATTTTTTTTTTTAAAAAAATAGGTATATTAATATATATAAATCTGTTAACCAAAAAAGACATATATTAATGAAGTTTTTATTTAAAATTAAAAATTTTAAAAAGTCAAAATATTTTGACCAATATTTTTTCGAAAAATAAATTCATAAATTTAAATCCAAATTTAAATTGATGAAACAACACTAAAATCAAATTTATAATTATTAATGTTCTAACAAAAATAAATTTCAAAACTTATATTAAATTTATTTAAATTAAATTATAGAAAAAAAAAATATATATATATATATATATATATATATATATATATATATATATATATATTGTAATTTATTTTTAAAATATCACATCGCTTTAAAAGTGTTAATGATGATATAAATTTTAATAAAAAAAATTAATTTTACATTAATTTTGAAAAATGGTTGGTTTTTTTGTTTGATACATAACCATCTCCATTCAAGTGCTACAAGAGTCGTAACGACATCAATTAGTTCTATTGGACTCATACTTGAAGAGTTAGTGTCATCGGATATGATATGAACCAAAAAACATCAATCATACAATATACTTCAATGACGATGTGAAGAAAAAGTTGTCAAAATTATCAAAAGATGTTTCAATGCATGCCACATTGAAGAAGAGTGAAGTTTGATTGTTATAAATTTTAGGTGGGTTACAATTTGACCATCAAGTATGAATGTTGCAATTTTTAGAATGCCTAGTAGTTTCATTTTGAGGCTATATAAAGTCGTGTATGTTGTATTTGTAAGAGACTTGAAAAATATAGTAAAAAGAAGCATTTGTGCTCTTCTTTAGCTAATGACTAAGTTTGTTTGCAATTCTATGTAGTGTAGGTTGCATGTAGAATCATTCAAGCTCGACATGATCAATTTTGCTTGTGGAGTGATTCGAATCTCAAGCAAGTGTTCTTGCCTTGAGATATTTGATCAACAAGAATCATTCAAGCTAGACATGATCGATCTTGCTTGTGAAGTGATTCGAATCTCAAACAATGTTCTTGCCTTGAGATATTAAATTATGTTCTACTCCATAGAAAGTGAAGGATACTAAATTATGTTTGGATTTATACCTATGAGTTAAATTTCGACAAACTAAAGTTGTAAGCGATTGGGCTGTCCAAAATCGTGTTTACGGAACCCTAGTAAACTCCACTCTTAAATGTGCATGAGTGGAAGGGAGATTTACGGGTTTGCATCCGAACTAGGTTATTTTCTACTCTCGCTCTCAGCCATATAAATTTAATCTTCTTTACAATTTTTTATCCCAAAAACCGAATGAATTTATTGATTCTTATGCATAAGACTTGAGATGGATTTGTCAATATTAATCTAGTTAAAGGTTAATTTGTGTATTACTTTGTTGTTGTTATTTGCTTTGAAATGGAGGGTTTTTACCAAGCGATCATGGCCAGCGGACCAACATGTCGGGTTGGTAAACAACACAACTTATCAAACTTTATATAAAGACAACTAAAGTTACGAACAATATGATTTATGGGTTTACACAGTGTATTGTTGATGTGCAAAACAAATATATGTAAATCTACCTAACTTATGTGATTGAAACGAACAATAAAAAATAACGAACTAGACAACAATACAATGCTCACCAAATACCTTTGGATACTTGAGTTAAACTAGAGTTTTTGCGTAATTTTGTGCTTTTTTGGACTCTACCTTCCTTGTAGTTAATCTACGACCAAAGCGGAATCAGCGGACTCAATAGTCGTTATATCTTTCAGAGGTCTCTTGTTGGTTCTGAGTAAGATGCTATAGGTCTTCATCCTTCGATGTGGAACCCTTTCTTTCGTTTAGCTGCTAAGGCCTAAACTCTCGGCCCATAGAGGTTCAAACAAATCAATCCATATGTCATTTTTATGTCCATTTTTTTAATTAAAATTGGATAGAATTTGTGATTTGGCTTGTTTTCAAACTTTTTAAGAAATTTTTAGGAATCCGGATCTGGGGATTATTCTTGAATATTATTAGAAATTAAGCTTATAGAGCATGTATTGACTATTTGAATAAAAATTTAAAATATAATTTCACGATGTGAATTGAATTTTTATTTAAAGATTTTAGTGTTGCTTCTTACCGAATACGACTGACAGCTTGACCAGACGAGGGATCATCCAGTAGTCCAGTCGGCCTGGATTGGTCGGGACAGGCTTGATTAGACCCAATCTTGCATGTTGGGCTTGATCTCAGCCCAACTTTTGGGCTGAGCCTAGCTAGAGAATTTTTAAAATTTATGAAATATTTATTATTTTTTTTTTAATTTGATTGCAGATAATACAATTAGCTTTTGAAATGATAATCATGCACTTAAATAATTATTAAAATTTTAGTTTATATTTTTATGATATTATATTCAAGTAAAAGAATTTTGTTTTTTTTTTTTAAATATATTTTTTAAAAAATGAAGGGCTTAAAATTTAATTTTAAAAAATATATAAAACAGTAGGAAGAATATGAATGAAATAAAAATTTAAATAAAATGAGTGATATTATAAGCCTTTGTTCAAAGGTAGTGGTGGAAAAATGGTAAGACCACTGACCGTATGATTGGCAGCCAAAGAATTGGTCAACTAAATTAGCAGATAAAAAGAGCTGATCGATCGCCTCGTCCCCTGGCTCCTTCCTCTTCCTGCTACCAAAAGAAAAGGAAAAGAAACAAATTAATCGGAGGAATCCATCTCTGCGCACAGTACAGAAATGTTGGAGTGCCTTCCTCCGCCGGAATCTGCTGCATTCTCCCCGATGCAGCATGGTTTGATAGAGAACAGAACAGCCCCCCATGGGCCTCCTCCTCCGCCTCCCATGGCCGCCTCCTCGCCTGAAACCACCACCATCAGCCTCTCTCACGCCTACGCCGCTGCTGTTCTCCAAACCAACTCCTTCAAGGAGATGGTGAGAATCACCAGCTCCATGGACCTTCTGGCCGTCGCCGATCACGATCAAAGCCACTCCGGTATGCTCGCCCAGGTGCTTGCCCCCGATCGAGATTGCGTCCTCGACGCACTTCAACGCTCAAAATCCAACTCCACTTCGCTTTTTAATCTCAACTCCTCTTACTTTCAGTACAGCGAGGAAACCACCAGCCTTTGCCTCACCCTCCGGATTATAGTAGCTAAAGCCCGTCGATTATATTGCCCAATCGACACACTCCTCTGTGAAATTCCCATTGATTCCCTTTCTAGGTCTCACTGTGACCTCGTCTTCCAAGAGTTCCTTAAATTCAACGCGGAACCCAACCCTTTCCCCCGCCCTGACTCACACACCTTCGACAGAATTCGAGACCTCTTCAGCGATCTCAAGCGCCAACTTGATCGCCGTCTTAGTAAGTCCAGCTCCAGAATTCACCTTGTTCGCCCTCCCGCCGCCGAGCCCAACTCCCTCTGCTGCGGCGGCGGTGCTGCAATCATGGCCTACATTCCTCCCAGGTTCGTCAAGAGAGAATTGGCTTATGCAGCTCAGCTTAAAGTTGCCACAAGGAATACCTATATTCTAAAGACTGACCTTGACACACTTGATAGCCTCGTCAGCCGTCTGCACAACAATGTGGAGGACGACAAGCGTTCTATTCAGGATGGTTTGAACATGGGGAATGATCAGCATATAGTTCAGGAGCTGCTCAAACAGTTGGGGAGGAATCACCAGAAGATGGGGCACTACCTTGATCTTCTTGAGCAAAAGATCACGACTTGTTTTAACACCATCAACCGCTCAAGATCTCAACTTCTTGAGAAGATTCTACTTCATCAAACTAGTTCTGGGTCTTCTCATCATTCCCAATAGTCTCATCACTCTATTGTTTCTTTCTAAATGTAGTTTTGTTCCATACTAATATTCAACCTGTCTCTAACCCGTTTAGTTTGAAGTTTACACCAATAGATAACTCAATAAATTCATACCTTATGAAACTATTGCAGTTGAAAGCACGATGAAAGTACAAAACTTTTAAAAATAAACTCTGCCTTTATATTGTGTGAGAATGGAGAGCAGATAGTACATACAGTTTCTGTATAATTATGGTATCAAGTAGCGGAGGCATCAATCCTCTTTAGCTTTATTAACTATCTCCTCCGTGGTGATGCCTATGATGTCATTGGCACTCCTCAGATCTACGCAGGAATAAGCCCCATCTGCATCCTGTTTTTGGTTCTTTTCCAAGTCAGAGAAGGTGTAGGAAGACATATTAATCCACATAAATAAAAATTCTCTTGTTCTCAATATGTTCTTACCCGGATTAGGATCCCTAACTTCTCTAACTTGTGAACCGCATCATCCACTTCAAAGTTACAGCTCTGATCAAACTGAACTTGAATCAGCTCCTCACACCGCATGTCAAGCTCCTACTTGCATAACCACAGAAGAATAAGTAAAGCATCAATCCATAATGCCTTATCCATTCATGGATGCCTGTGTGAGTCGGGGATTTATCACAATCGCTCACTCCACATCATGGAGCGATTTTAAAGTGAAAGAGGGTTTTGTGTAAGCACCTGTTTTGTAGCCCTTCCCTGTTTCATCAATATATAGAAGGAAATAATCACCTCCTTTACCTGAAAGTTTTCAGACATGGGAATGTAAGCCATGAGTAAAGAACACCAAAAATAGCATTGAGAATGAGGACTAGAAGAAAGTTATTTGCCTCCACCAGAAGCTGCAAAGCAAGCTAAATCTGTGCTACAATCAATTATATATCTGTATCATATCTGGATCTATAATATATAACAGAGGAGTTTGAAGGATAAAAATATTATTCGTTTTAATTAAGCTTGGTTATGAGCAAGTAGATCTTTCACTGCTATAAAGTAATATTGAGGAAAGATTCTAAAGCAACTAATACTCATTACCCTGTGGCAAAGAGAGAGAGTGCTACTTACTTCTTGCTGAATAACTTCGTCGCACAAGTGAAGAAGAGTGCCCCTTCCACTGTCGAGTTGTTTGTCATACACGCAGCTTGTGATTAGGCTCTGATATGACACTAAATTACCCTGAAACCTACAGGAAATCGAAGATAAGTTGGCACTAGCTCAAGGGGTATAGATAAGGGAAATGCAAGAGTAATTCTTTGAAGCAATATAAAGCTAGAGTCTAGAAAATAAGTAACATTAGTCACACCCATAAGCAGAAATGGGAAGAGAGGAGGCCGTGTAACTTTACGAGAGATATGTTTTCACACAGTAACCACCGACTGCAGAGAGGATAGCAAAAATGACTTTGACATCTGCTTTAGGGACGCTAAGCGAGCCAATAACAGTAACCTGTCCAAGCAGGGAGGGGGGCGTGAGAGAGGTGTATTTGTTTTCGTAAGTCCATACAGAATTTTGGGTTAAAACAACAACCAACCAGCCCAATTGCAGCAGACACAAGGAACGTCAGCCAGTCCATTGGAGTTAAACCTGGACTTTTCTTTTCCGGCTGTCAAGAGTAACGTTTTTCCAGAAATAACCGAGTTCAGAAGTTCCATACAACAATGGCCGCTCATTAGTTAACGTTCAATACCAAAAAAAACCCGGAGGAAACTAAGAGCGAAGGGAGGTGGATTACGAAACCTACAAGCACAATCTCAAGATCTGCCATCGGTATATTCTTGAAATGCTTCAGGAAGATACCTCGTTCCTCCACCTCCTCGTTCGGACTTGCTGGCCTACTCAATTATATCTTTGTTAGAAGTCAATAACACTTTTAATACAGTCAAAGATAAAGGAGAATCTTTGTTAGAAGTCGGTAACATTTCTAGTCATGCACACCAACCACGTTAGAGGGGGAAAATACATGATTCTTATTTGAGCTTAAAAGCTTTCCACTCAAAAGTGGCTCATAAACAATAAAGAAAAAGAACCTGTAAACAACGATGATTCTATCAAATGTGGGTTCTTGGATCGTAATCTTGTTCCATAGCATAGAGAACCTGAAATGTCATACAATACATGAAAATCAAGCAATCAAGGAATCTAAAATGCATGACCGTGCTTGACCTCCCGGTCGCTAGGAAGAAACATAGGCCTTCCCTTGTTAAACTAATTCAACCATTAATGCATGAAGCCAAATTATAGAGTGGTAAGAGTTCAAACCCAAGTGACATGTTCTCAACGCGGATCCGCTCAACATACAAGCCATCATCCACTGAATCTGTACTGATATCAATTTGTTTTGAAAATACCTGACTTTGGTGGCTTCTTGACGCTTCAAATAAAAGTCTCTTTAACCTGTAAAAATAAAGCAACAAACAAATGGCCTGTAAAGAAAACAAAGAAGTTCACAAGACTGATAAAGATGTCTGTACTCACCCTAAGATATTGAGAAAGAACATCCATATTCGCTTAATGATGGCATTTACTTTTGTTCGGTAAAAGTGATCGTTCATTTGATCAATCCCAATACCACGGCGGAAAATTATGTACTACAATAGTATAATAGATGGATTCAAGTCAGTTCGGTATGTGTTGAATAATGCCCCAAGTGTTACTGTTATGAGAGAGCGAAAAGGTAATTGTTTGCAGATTCAAATGAACAACACAAAGGGAAGAAAATTAAGCACATAATTTTAACGATCTATGATGATGATGTCAATGTATACATTCAAAACTAGCATCCCTTTTCCTACTGTTGATCACAATGAAAATATAATGACAATAGAAACATGTGATGTAGCTGGTTGCTGTTCTTGCCGAAGAGTGGCAGCTAAATCCATCATTTTCTAAAGCTTTCAATTTAATCTGCCTTTATATCAAACGGTTGGCAGAGAAGAAAAACATACTCCAAAGCAATGCGTCAATTGAATTAAGTAATTAGTCATAGCCTCATTTCCTGATCACCTCTTGTTTTAAATTAAGGGCAATTAAGCAAGTTTGGTACCTTATCAGCAAAATATGGAAGATTGTCGTGAGGATTCTCCATGAAGTAATTCGTCAAAAGCTTTGTGTCAAGCTTCATGAGTTAAAACAGAACAACAGGATAAACAATTTTTGCGCTTGATTTAATAACAAGAAAGTAAACAATACAAAATTAGTAGTTATCAATGTTAGTTGAACACGACTCTCCACAATGGTATGATATTGTCCACTTTGAGCATAAACTCTCATGGCTTTGTTTTAGGCTTCCCAAAATGCCTCATACCAATGGAGACAGTATTCCTATAAACCCATGATAATTCTCTAAATTAGCCAATGCGGGACTTTCATCCAACATCTCCCCTCGAACAAAGTATGCATCCCCTAATCGAGGCTGACTCTTTTTTTTTTTTTTCTTTTGGAGCCCTCGCTCTTTAGGGAATGATCATGAGTTTATAATCAAGAAATACTATCTACATTGGTATAAGGCCTTTTGGGAAGCCCAAAGTAAAGCCATGAGAGGTTATGCTCAAAGTGGACAATATCATACCATTGTGGAGATCCGTGATTTCCAACATGGTATCACAACCATGCTCTAAACTTAGTCATGTCAATAGAATCCTCAAATGTCGAACAAAGTATTGTGAGTCTCGAAGGCATAGTCAAAAGTGACTAAAGTATCGAACAAAGGGTATACTTTGTTCGAAGACTCCAAAAGAAAAAGGAGATGAACCTCGATTAAGGGGAGACGTACTTTTGTTCGAGGGGAGGTGTTGGATGAAAGTCCCACATTGGCTAATTTAGGGAATGATCATGGGTTTATAATCATGGAATATTATCTCCATTCGTATGAGGCCCTTTAGGAAGCCCAAAGCAAAACCACGAGAGTTTATTCTCAAAGTGGACAATATTATACCATCGTGGAGAATCGTGTTCATCTAACAATCAAAGAGGAAAAGTAATCTAGAACCTTGGACTCATCCACAGAGATGGGAAGATTTAGTCGATATTGTCCAGAAAGTGCAACTGCGATTTCCTCGTCTGTTGTTAATTTGAAATTGCTCTTCTCCATCACCTGAAGAAATCCAAATATTGGAGAAATAACTGAGCTACAGTATTGAAAAGTTAAGTCAAAACAGAATAACGCCTACAGATATAGCTTGTGGTGGCAGCACAGAAAAATTATTATTGAATTTACTCGACACAATGTGATGACGATGAGCATTTTCATCCAAAAAATTAAAAAACTGAACCCGAAATGGATCGTCGCAATTCACAGATGAATATTCTCAAGCAACGATAGGCAGGTGATCAAAATTAAGTTGAAGGATTGCTGAATGAGAAACCATTCAATGGTAAAAAGAAAAAAGAAAAACGCAAATGCTGTGGCCACAGTACCTGAAACAGTTTCCCTAGAAATTTTTGTTCCAAAGAATCGGTTTCTTCAGGCGAGAGATTTTGCTGCTCCAATTTTCGAGCCCCGTGTATAGGATCGAATAATGAATACAAATGCTACATATAGATGAATCTATCTTAGCTACCGAACCAAAAACAAAAAACAAAAAAGCGAATAATTCTGAAAAAGAAGGAACGGTAATCAAGACGTTGTAATACCAAAAGATCATCAAAATGCAGAAGATACCAAGCTCGAATTGAGTATTCAACTCTCTGGCAAAACTTCAGAAACTCATCCCGGTCCGAAAAATCTTCAGCTCAAAGAAACCGAGTAAGGAAATGAGATCAAAAACAGAAAACGGCGCGCAAATTGTAGGAGAAACACTATGAAGACGAGTAGGAAGGTACCGAGACGGCTGGCCAAGGCGCTGATAAGCCTGGGCTTGAGGATGGGGATAACTGACTCCCTCTCCAAGCGAATGACTTCCTTCTTCTTTTTGGTCATTGTTCGGAAACCTCCAAAAGCAAAATGGCTACCATAAACAAAAAAAATTAAAAAAAAAAACAATTGATGGAGCTTTGATCTGGTTTACCAGTTTGTGAGAGATGAATCCATGGCCATGGCTTCCCCCATTTTCGTTCAACAAACCTTCCCGGTCTATTCGGCTTGAAGTTCTCCAG